CACTGGGTGAGGCGGCCCTGCCAGGCGCCAGTCCAGTGGCTGTGGCAGCCCTGGCAGACGCCACCTTTAATAATTAATTTTTTTTTTCTTTTTTGATTTTGTTGTTGTTTTTTATTTAATTTTTTTGTAAAAAAAAAAAAATCGAAAATGATTTTTTAAAAAAATTCGAAATGGGTTTTTTGTAAATTAAATTTGAAAATTCGAAAAAGGTTTTTTTTAAATTAAATTTGAAAATTCGAAATGGTATATTTTTAAATTTAGTTTGAAAATTCGAATTGGGTTTTTATAAAAATTAAGTTTGATTATATATAATTATGTTTTTTTTTGTGTTAATTATGTGGAAATATAGAAATTAAATGTATTATCCGTTAAATGTATTTATTGTAATATATAATTGATGCAGGAATATGGTGGAGACGGAAATGATTACAGTGGGATATTTGGACATGATGGTCCATTCGAAGAAGCTCAACAGGCGATTGATTGGGCAAAACAGGTTGCAATTGCAGCTGGATTTTGCTTGGTAGTAGCAACTCACAAATCTCAACGGGATGGTAGAATGGATCGCATTTTGAGATGTGACCGTTATCGCAAAAGAGAAGAAAGAGATTTTCGTACAGCCACTCGGTTTGACACAAAGCGGAAAGGTTGTGGGTGTGAGTTCAGAGTAAAGGTTCGACAACTACGGAGTCGTGACGGTTGGGAAGTGATAGGTTACTCTAAATGGGGGTATCACAACCATGAGATGATAGTATATGAAGAGGGTCATCGACAACTGAGCGGCTTAAGTCCTGCTGCGAAACTAGTTGTGAAAGAAATGAGTGATGCTCAAGTGAAGCCTGCTAAAATATTAGCATCTATGTTAGAGAAATTTCCAGAAGACCATCCAAACCGAAGACACATCTACAACGTCAGACAACAACTCAGGTTTGAACGGTCAGAGGGAAGGAACCCTATACAGCAGCTGCTACACCAGGCACAATCACGTGGTTACCTGTTCTGGTTTGATTCTGATGAAGATACAGCGGAGGTGACTCATCTTTTCCTTGTGCATCCTGATTGTGCTGATATGATCAAGTCTTGGCCATTTGTGATTTTGATCGACTCAACGTACAAGACAAACAAGTACAAGTTCCCTCTGGTTGAGATGGTTGGGATGGCTCCAACGAACCAGAACTTTCTGATTGGTCATGCAATCATCAGGGATGAGACGGCTCCAAGTTATTATTGGGTTTTGGAGAAGCTGAGAAACTACATCGGGCCTAATGTTCATCCAGCAGCCATCGTCAGCGACTGTGAGGGAGGTCTCTTTGCCCCCATAGCAGAGCTGTTTCCCGAATCGAACCACTTATTGTGCACATGGCACATCAACAACTGCGTGAAAGTGAAAGCCTACAACCTTTTCAAGAAGAATTTGGAAATGGCAGAGAGATTGGTGAATGGTAAGTGGCGGAAGATCCTACAGGCTACCACAGAGGAAGCGTATGAGCGAGCATTGGCTAACTTCAGGGATTCGTACCAGTGGTGTCCGGCACTGGTGGACTATGTGATGCATCAATGGGTCCCTCACAGGGAAAAGTTTGTCAAATATTGGACAAACCAGGTACTTCATTTTGGGAACACTACAACATGTAGAGTTGAGAGCGCTCATAGAGCTACCAAGGACTGGATTGATTCATCGACCGCTGCTTTGGATACACTGTTCGCTAGACTGAACAAGTCAATTGAAACTCAGAAGAACGACATCAGGAACTCTCTAGAGGACTCCAGACGACGACATGGTACGATGTATAGCCATTTTATATTTAAGATTCTCCATGGTCGTGTGTCGCACTACTGCTTGGGGTTGATTCTCACTGAGCTGAACAGGGTGAGGGACTTGGCTGACGAAGTGTATACTCGGTGTGGGTGTACTATTTCAGTAACTCATGGATTACCTTGCGCATGCACCATTCATCGCGTTATTACAGAAGAAAGGGCGTCGTTACATGTTGATCAGGTCCATTCATTCTGGAGGACGCTTGTTATTGGTGAGCATGCAGACAATCAAACGGCCGACCGTGAACAGGAAGAGTTGGAGCAGTTCCGTTCGATGTACGACCGAGTGTCCTCCAGCCATCCTTCTATTATTCGTGACGCTACTCATGTGCTTCATGACATGTTCCACCCGTCTAACTTAGATTATGAGGAACCCGAAGGAGTTGACCGTCCTCGAGGTCGACAACGGCGGAACAGGAGTGTGTTTGAGTATATCCGTGGTCTTGGTCGTGGTCGTTCTCGTGGTCGGACATCGTCATCTAGTCGTAGTCAATCTTCATCGTCTGTGAATATGCCCCTGAGAACTGGTACGTTTTGGTTGTTTTTATTGCACATAGTTTTAAAGTGTTACTCCTGCCTTCTTAACTGTCTATAATTAATTATTTGGTGAATAGGAAGAAACGATGTTGATCAGTTTCCGTACAAGGAAAGGATACCTGCGATCATCATGTCGTACTTGGAAGGGTGGAATGATGTAATCGGAGATGGTAACTGCGGATTTCGGGTCGTGGCTGATGTTTTTCAAATGGGCGAAGACAACTACGGTTTGGTGCGTGAGCTGATGTACAGCGAAATTGCCTCTAACCGAAATGTTTATCGTCATGTGTACCAGGATGACTTGGATGGCGCTCTGCGGCGTATCCGGTGGGGAGGTGGACCTTGCGGCGAAAATCATTATTTTGACGCGCCCCTAGATCTGTTTTCCGTTGCAAACATTTACAAATGCGCAGTCATGCATTTCGGCCTGGGAGTGCATAGTCAAGCTTATTATCCTTGTACCACAGGCCCACCGGGCACCTCACTCCTAACAACCCAAGAATCATTACCGGCCCTCGACCGTTTCCTGCTTGCCCCAGATACAGTGGACGCAGATGATGTGCCAGATCTACTAACAAACCTACCACCCCTACCCTTACGCACCTCCACCATATGCGTCTCGTACATGTCATCAACCCTCTGACTGAATGGACCGTAATCATCATACGGTCCACTGCCATCGTCCAAATCCTCATCCTCATCTGCGCCCTCCTCCTGCCCCTCCTCCTGGTCACCCTCCTCAGCATCATCATCGTCATCGGCATCCTCATCCCGACGGTGGATCCGTTCTCTACGAACTGAGGCCGAAATACCACGGGATCTGACATGTCTATGCCCCGACCTCTCCACTGAATAACTTCTACTAAGAAGCTCTATATTCTTCCCCGCACCATGACGACCCTACACAAAATTTTAAAATATATAAACATACAAAAATTTATACGATAAATAATCATCATCGCAAATCAAATAAACTAAAAACATACAAATAATTGTAAACAAAATATAAACGTAGAAAAAATACAACGAAATTGAAAAAATTTATAAAAATAAACAACAAAATATAAAAACAATTCAAAATTATATTACAAAAAAAAAAAAAAAAAAAAATTAAAAACAATTTTTTAAAAAAATTTAAAAAAAAAATAAAAATAAAAAATGGCGGCGCCTAGAATAAACGCCACAATCGTGGCTGTGGCGTCCAGCCAACTGGTGGCGGCGTCTGCATCTGGCGCCACCACCGCTGGCTGGGCGTCCAGCCAGGGCGCCCCACCGCGTTCACGGCGGTTTTCCCCCCTTTTTTTTCTTAAATAAAATATACCTTTCCTCCTTGGGACATCCTTCCCTCCGCCGCCCCCCGCCACTTCCTTGCCTTGCCGCCTCGACATTGCCGTTATTTTGAATTTTTTTTTTTTAGAGAGGTTGAAAGAAGATGAGCAATGAGAGTGTGAGTGATGAGAGTGTGAGTGATGAGAGTGTGAGTGTTTTTTTTTTAAGGTCAAGGGCAATTTTGGGAAACCAAGTGAATTTTGTGGGCTTTATGTAGTAATTTGTGGGCGATGTTTAACAAATCCCAAGAACTAACCTATGTATAGACAATAGACCTCGTTTGGATTTGTAAGTTGTCCAACTAATCAACTTTTTTTGGTAAATAAAGTTCCAAACTCTATTTCATATATTCTCTATAAATTTAACATAACTAATTATGCTCAAAAGACTATCCAAATTAGTGTTTCGTTACGTTAATATAACCTTTAATCTACGCAACTAACCAGCTCATAAACTTGTTTTTTGCTGAACTAACGCATTAATGCAATATGCTGTGTAATATGCATTGGCTCACCAACAAAATGTCTACTGAATATGTGGAATAATTTTTCGAACCACCACCTTTCACTTTGTAGTTGGTCCAATATAATTTCCAAATATTATGAGGATTCGTAATTGATTCCTTTATCACTTGTTTGTGCATCTTATTCTGAAAATATGATCTAATAATTCTAGTTGCTGGATGTGTCTTAAACTCTTAATTCTTGAGTCTAGCTAGTTCTGGCTCACTTTAGAGTTTATAGGTTTTAATTTTTTCTTTTAAAAAAAATTAAAAAAATTGTGTAGTCATATTTATCACATAAAGTCACACATCAACAATTCACCAATAAGTTATTCCGTAAGCCAACTTACTATTCCCTCTATTGCAGTTTATTAATGGACGATTTGATGAAAATAAGTAACATAACTACTCGAATTTTATACGGCTTTTTTGTCTCAACATTATGGTTTCGTTTGAATTTCCTTGATAAATTAAGATCTTAAGGGTTTCACTAGTCTAATATACTCCGTATGTGTATTATTTTGAGATGAACTAAAATTGATAACTAGTCTACCCTTTTTTTTGAGCATATCCTTGTCTATGGAGAGCCCCTTCAAGGCGTTTGGCTGACTTAACATGTGTATATTTTTGTACCCTGCCAATAACATACTCTGCGTTTTGTTCTTTACAAAGTATTGATTCTAGCTGTTCTCAATGTACGTTTTATTGTTCTTGTCTTAATTTGGAATCAGTGTTACCGGTGCACCGAATAATACTCGTATGTCACAGACTTAGAGCAAGCTAAACTCTTGAAGGCCAAAGAGTACAAGAATAATATGAATAATAGCAACGGCAAGATTTTATCTTCTCATTCTTTTTCTCCTGTACAAACATCATCATATATATACCCCTCCACAACAACAAACAAATCCGAAATAAATCAAGCACAAGCTCTCAAAGATCACAGCAAACGTGAATGGTGATCATCACCGGCTGTCAACACCAGCCTAACTGCGAAATGAATCGTCACGCCTAATACAATGTGGATGTTCAAATTGATGATGACACATTTCGGAGTTAAATACATGATACATCCCTTTTGTCAAGGACTCAAGGTCAAATGAACCAAGTAATATACAAGCTTCAGTAGTAGTCACGGTCATCAAAGACAATCCCATGTCGAATGCTAGTAGCTGAAGCTTGAGGATCTTATCTTAAAAGTGCTTTAAACTTCATCCATTGCAATTGCTGTATAAAATAATTAGATGATAAGCAAAAAGTTGCTGATGATGGATTCTAATATAATAAAAGCAATTATAGTATAAAAATGTTGCAAAAGATAGTCATTACAAGATAATCATTGGATTCTAATTAAAACAATAGTTCTTTACTTCTATAGTAGTAGTCTATTAGAGCTAGTGGGCATACAGCATCTAATTGTAGATGCAAGTAGCTTTGGATGCGCCCGTAAAAAGAAAGAACACTTTGGATGTAATTCATCTTTATACTTTATGTTACTCATGACCAGTTGATTATCAAACAGAATTGAACAGCAAAAAAAAAAAAAAAAAAAAAAAATACTCGTATCCAATGATTAGTATTCATTCATTCACAATCCATGAATTCATTAGCCCTTATATTCACAGCTTTATTACTTTGTAAAACTATTTTCCCTAAACTTTACCATTGAGTTTAATATAGTAGAAGATAGACATAAATAGGGAAGGACCGACAGTTTTTAAAGGGCCCATACTATTAATTAGATAAAATCAACGGTTAAGTCAGCAACAAAATCCCATCCCACCTGTAATATATTGGTCAGATTAAATGGCTTGACTGACATAGATATGAATATTCCAAAATTCTAGCATACTCAATAATTCAAGTGTGAAATATGTTATTTGACATATTTGGTGGCCATATTAAATCAATGTAATCTTACTATACTATGAGAAGAAAAAAGGGGAAAAGGCAAATTATAGCTTGAGGATTCACTGTCAAGTAAAGTAAGAAAAAGATCCTATGATGGAAAAGTAGAAACAGGAAGTTGGTGTAAAATCATTTCTAGAACAATGATCATTAATCATTCAGCAGGTTGTAGAATGAAAAACAAACTGTGTATATCAAGTAGAAGTGGCTAAAGGGTTGTTCGGATCAAGGTCTGTTTATGTTATCTCGGGTTGGGCCATAATCGCAGCCATTGCCAATATCAACTCAGGTCAAATCAGGTCAATTTTGAATCCTATTATCATATTATGTAATACTCCGTATCAAGTAAGGTATGGGTTTTTACCAATTTCGAGTCGGATTTGATATCTACCTAGTACCTACTACCACATAGTGAGTGACTCATTAAAAAGTAATGGTTAACATTAAGAAGCATCTATGAAATGCTAAATGCCTGTATCAACTAACTACAGCAAAAGATATGATGGCCAAGGCGAAAGAATTGACAAAATTGCAGACTAATTGAGTAGAAAGCGAATTAAATTTACCTGTAGTCTTATGCTCCTCGAACCACTGAATTAAAACAAGCAGCAGTGGAAGCTGAATCAAAGCTTCTGGGACTGCAGTTTCTTCCTCTCTGGGCAGTTTGGCCAATGCCTTTGACACTTCCCCATGACTCCCGGTAAAAGCCTTCGTTCTGCTCGTGATGCTTAAAACTATCCATCTGTGGAGCAGCTTCTAGACTAACACCTCTATTAGGCATACTTCCTGAACAAGATGACTTTGGAATAGAGGACGACCTTCCTTCTGTTCTTCTCCAGAATTTCGGACTCAGGAATTCTGTACTAGGACAGCAAGTGCTTCCTGCTGAGTCATTGTTGGCAATTCTTCCGCTTTGCACAGCTAAATCATGGGAGATCTCATCCAATGCTCTCTCGAGGCCAGATACTCGAGTCTCCAAAGAGTCAATCCCACTTTGAGAATTACCCATAAATCTCTGAATATTGCAAAAGCAGAAGGTTGATGTCAGTTATCAATCTTCAATTTAAAAATGCAGAAACTACATTGATTTTTTTGCACTACTCTCATTCATATTATAACTGTGGATGAATAGCTGTGTCTGTTATTCGGGTGTAAATCAACTCAAAAAGATACAAGAATAAAAAATAGCCAGTTCATATTAACAATGGAATACGAAAAGAGTATGCAACAAACCTGGATGAGAACCATCATATCAGATTGCTGTCTCTCTATCTGAAGAAGCTGTTTTCTGATCAAAGACAGGTCCTCAGAGTCTGCATTGCTTTCACCAACTTCTTCATTTCCTCCTCCATCAAAGTCCAACCTCCGAGGCTCATCTTCCTCGGAGAAAGGAACAACACGAGACCCAGGTTTGAAAGCATCAACCTTTGGCACCTTTTCCACCTTTCCTTCAAAGGACTTCTTTACAAAGTTGCTGCTCACATCTGATTCAACCGTTTCAGATGAAGCCGCAAGAGCAGCTAATTCAACCTTCCAATTTGACAATTTCTTAGGCTCAGCATTTTGGTACAAACTCGACTTCTTATCATTGGCCTTCAAAGGCAAAGAAGACCTGCCCTTGGACACAGCTCTTTTGGACTGAGCAGCTTCAAAGGCAGCATCAGGGGAACTTTTTGAGACCGAAGAAGAATCAGTGATAGTCGAGTCATCGGACAAGGATGATCTGCTTTTCGAGAGTGTTTCCTTCCTTTGCGGCGTCTCAAGTCCTATACTCTCTTGAGTGCTTGGGGACATGGAAGGTGAAATAGTGGCAATTGGACCATCAGACAAAGATGACCTACACTTTGCCATTGCTTTCTTTGATTTAGGAGTTTCAGTGCCAGCATATGAACATCTCCTTGGGATAGGAGGTGAAACCCCACCTGCTGCACCACTTTCTACTCCATTGACAACATCGATAAATAAAAAATTAATTAGTTAAAATATCCCCATCATTAATTATCTCAATCTCCAAGATAAACAAAATTGATTGCTGAACTATAGCTCATGCTTCAATTTCAGTTCCACATCTCCATAGTTTTTATTTTATTTTTTAAACAAATAAAATTCCCCTGATTATAAGTCATACAACATTTACAATAAACATAAAATCGAATCACAAACAAGCTTCATGGAATTCATGAAAGGTAATTAGACAGCTCAATCTGAAAAATTTTGCATGATATTTGAGATTTACATTAATTATAAACCACCTAATCCAGACAAATAAAAACTTGCAAGTTGCAACAAAATATAATCTGAAATTTGCATAAAAACTCAGAAAAATATAGTCAACAAAATAAGAAAAAGTTAATACCTTTAGAAATTGATGAATTAGATCTAGATAAAGCGATTTCCTCCCCAGGACCACCAGGAACCTCCCTCCAAGCCTCCAATGCCCGGTTCATAATTTCACGGGTAACCTTAACCTGTCAAAATCAACCATAATACACACTTTAGAACACAATTAAAAAAACAAATCTACCAAATAAAAACAAATCTCGTCTACATTACTGCCCTTTACGACTCGATTTACTTTACCTTATCGAACCTCCTGGAGTCCAAGGAATTGACCACAAAACGCTTAACCTCAGCGGCAGAGTCCTCATCCACGACAACCGCCATCTTAAGCAAAAGCTCGGCAGCAGATTTTCTAGCCATCCAATCGTCGGAACTCAACATTTCAACAGCAACACCTACCACATTGCCAACTAAATTACCACCATTGTTACTATTATTAATAACAACGCCATCTTTAACGCCAACAACACTCTCAATCACACCTAACAGTGCTCCTTTCGCCTTAAACCCGTCTCCTTTGAGCAACTTCATAGCTTTAGGCAATACCCTTTTTCTCAGGTCAATCACTTCTTTCTCTTCGAGACCGCCTGCATCAATGGCCGCCTTCAGGCACAAGCAGCACCCGATCTGCGCGTTTAAATCTTGTTCAATCGATATCGACCCGAGAGTTGCGTCAAGTAAAGGCGGGTAGTTTAACGGGGACAACGCGGAGACGGCGGAAACACAGGCATTGCGAACAGAGGAGTCGGAATCCCTTAAACGACGGAGTAAAAAGGGGATGATCTTGGGTAAATGAGGAGAGAGAAAATGTTTATGGGTGTTATTTAGGAGAGATAGGAGAGTAATACAATGAACACGAACAGGGGATTTCAAGGAAGAATCGATTGAGAGAATACATGACAAAAATGTTGGTAGAAAATCTAAGGAAATTGATTTAGCGAGGTAATTTAGTTCGGAAGAAGCTTGAGTGAAGGTTGCTCTGTCTGAGAGTTTGTCAATGGAGGTGAAGATTTTTTGTCTGAGTTCGTGGGTGTTTGATGGTTTTTGGTATGACGCCATTTTCATGGAATTTGATCAAGGAAGAGAGAGGCAAATGGAGGAAGAAGAAGGTGTTTTCAAAGGTGAAATTTGCAGAGGATTTTGTTTATAAACGTTTCAGAAGGAAGAAGAAAGAGAGAGAGAGAGAGGAGAGAGAAAGGGGAAGGAGAAGTGGGAGGGAGGTATCGTTTTCTAAGTTACGAGGCGGGGTTTTTTTAGCTCGTTGAGAAAGTGATTTAAGTGGGACATTATACTTAATTTTTTATTAGGATTTGTATTAGTGGTATCCGTTGCTAAATATTTAGTGCTTTTTTTTTAACTACACATTTTTTTTCCATTTGATATTACTGAACTAAAATTTTACTGTACTGTGGAGTAATTGATTCGTTAATTTACTTTTTTTTTTTCCTTATTTTTTTTTTAATTTTTTTTTTTGGGTTTTTGAAAGAGATTTACTTTTATTTGAAGTTATTATAGTATCACTATCTGCCTCCCTCTTTATTTTTTCTCTCTAGGGTTTTTCACAAAAAGTGTTTCTTAAGTCGAAAATAGCCTTTTAGTTTTTTTTTATATTTTTGTTATTGAATCCAATAAAACTACACTTGTTGTAGATAAAGTACCCCTATAGTGGGTTTGAGTGTAGTAAGTGCCCCTTATTGTGGGCTAGCTTTGTTCTAGTTTTGTTTTTGTTTTTTGAGTTTTGTATAGTAAAAGTTATTTCATGGGTAAAGATTTGTGTGTGATCGAAAAAGAGGTTAATCATTCGATTACAATCAGATGAATCAAACAAAAATTTTCTGCACGACTACAACAAATTAATAGACTCCCTCGTCGAAAAAGGTTATAAATCACAGCGATATAAAAAAATGTTAGAAGAATGAACGATTAGTAACAATGATCGTAGCTCTGCTGAAAGGATGTTTTTATTTGACTCAATTGTCACGTATTTATTAGGTTTAAATTTCTTTGTAGATGTCGTATGACTTTTTATTTATGAATTAATTTTGTTTTTCAAAAAAAAGTTATTATAGTATCATTCATGTTTTACCAAACACTCATAAATCAATTATCAATCTTCACTGCTAACAGCTTGTTGAGAGCTAACCATTACAAACACAAGTAATAGCTACTACAATACCACACAGCTAGCAACCACCTAGACAACTACGTTTTTCCAAACATGGTAAAAAACCTTTAACAAACAAGCGACTTATTTTGTGATTTGCCCTAACTATTAATCTATTATTGTCAATTCGTCATTAATTTGTACTCTGTATATTTCAATCTTATGTATAAATTTTCACATATATATAGTATTTTAAAAACAATCATAATACAGTACGGAATGCATCAATTCAATTCAATAAATACTAATTCTATTCAATAACAACCAATTTTGATAAGTAAAGATTGATTATTTCATATAAGAAATAAAACAATGAACCAAATCCCTCCCTTGCTAACAACCCACTATCTAATGACCTCAAGCACACATAATGGTATATTGGTACGTGTACCCAAAACAAACCAAGTTAAAATCCACCCCCCCCCCCAAAAAAAAAAAAAAAAAAAAAAAAAATCTTGCTAAATAAAATAAAATTTTCAGAATGGGTGAGCTTTTTTCGAGTTAAATTTAGATTTCGATCTAAAAACATAGTTTTAGGTCTTGCGTGTAAGAATTTTCTCTCCAACACTTGGGTTCTTATCACAATGTTTCCTAAATGATTCAATCCTTATAAAACCTAAATTGTTCTAAATTGGTTAACAAAAGAATAGATGGATCAAAAAAGTAGTACAATAAAACATACGCAAATGAAAAATTGGATTGAATAATTGTAGTATATAGACTAATAAAAGTACAAATGATCGTATATTTGTACCTCAAGTCTATTACTCAAATTTGTACTTTAAAAATAGCGTAATTGCAAGATTGGCTTTAAAAAAACAAAAAAATTATAACACAATTTTTTGTATGCGGCTTGCTGTACGGTGCGGCAGGGGACACTCGAGTTTCTCGGTCAGGGGTTACTCCAGTTGGCGGGGTTACTCCAGTTACCCGGTTAGGGGTTACTCGAGCTGTTGGGGTTACTCAAGTTACTCGGTTAGGGGTTACTTGAGTTACTCCTGACGGGGTAACCCCTGATCGAGTAACCCCTCGAGTAATTCATGATCAAACCTCTTGAGTAACCCCTGATTGAGTAACCCCTCAAGTAACCTCTGACTGACCCCTCAAGTAACCCCTAACCGAGTAACCCCGGACCGAATTACTCGAGTAACCCCTGACCGAACTGCTTAAATAACTCCTAACTGAGTAACTCGAGTAACCCCTGATCGAGTAACCCATGACCGACTAACCCCTCGAGTAATCCCTTACCGAGTAACGCGAGTGACCCTTGACTGAGTAACTCGAGTAACCCCTCAATTAACCTCTGTTCGAACCTCTTGAGTCACCCTTGTCCGAACCCCTCAAGTAACCCCTGACTGAATAATTCGGATAACCCCTGATAAAATAACTTGGGTAACCCCTGTCACACGGTGTGACCCGTAAAGTGTTTACGTATCGTGTTATGTCATATACTTCAGTAACTTCACATATACTTGGTACATTGAATTTAATGTCTAACAGAGTAATTAAGCCAAATTACGGAGTATTGATTACTAGATAATTCCTACTCCGTAGTTATCTTGAAACAACCATCCGGAAGTGTCGTGACGTTACAAAGACTCAACTTTTTGGTAATGTCACAAGGATAAACCTGGACAAGTGGTTATGTATGGCCTATGTCTTTGCTGACAAGCTTCTCATACATTACCTTATCATATTATACTCACAATACTAATGAACTTTTTAATTACTCAAGTAAAATGCCTGAAATTGATTAAAAAGTGGATTAAATAGATACTCCCTCCATCCTTTAATGATAGTCTTTTTTGGTCAAATTTTAGTATTAAAATACTCACTCCATTTGCTTTTTCTAACAATTATTAATATTAATTTTTTTTTTACCAAAATTCCCTCTAATTTGCAATAATATTTGTATAAATTTAGTTTTTCCATGTAAATTTTGCTTTTCCCTGTACTTTTATTACCTTTTCTTTCTATTTTTTGACATATCTCATATAAATTTACCTTTACAATGTACTTTTTATTTAATTCCCATGAAAATTGTCCATAAAAGACTATTATTAAGGGACCGATGGAGTAAACTAAGTTAAAAAAAAAAAAAAAAAAAAAAAAGGCGTAAATCTAGAGTGAAAGCATGTGAGAAAGATATGGGTAAAATTAAAGTGTTCCAAGGAACAGCAAACCAAGTGACTCCTCAGAAGTCTCTCATTCATTATAATTGAGAGGTACTTGCTTACTCAGTTTTCCTCCCCTGCCAATGCCATCATCATCATATTCTCAATCCCGGTTTTAACCGTACTATAAAGCGAAAAATACATCGTGATTTTATACTTCTTATGTAATTTTCAGGGGTGTCAATTCGGGTAAACAATTTGGTTTTGGGTTGAGTTTATTAGTTTCGTGTTATAATGAGTCGCTTTATAACGGGTTAAAATGATTAGTGGATCGGTTTGGGTTGGTTTTGAAAATCATCGAGTCAGTTCGGTTTGGTTTTTTTATTGCGGTTTCCATTCGGATCGGGTTGTTGTTGGTTCGGGTCATAATCAGTTTGGGTTGAATCAGGTCGGTTTGAAAACGAGTTTAGCTAGTTTAAAGTGGGTTTCGGTTCAAAATAGTTCGGGTTCTAATCGGGTTGGGGTGTAATCGATTCGGGTCATAATCAGTTTGAGTTAAATTGGGTCGGTTTGAAAATGGGTTTCGGTTCAAAACAGATCGGGTGAAATCGGGGTTCCGATCATTATTGGTTCAAGTCATAATCGGTTTGGATTGAACTTGGTCGGTTTGAAAACGAGTTTACCCAATTTGAAGCGGGTTCCAGTCCAAGTCATATTGGGTTAAAATCGAGTCGGATCATTATCGAGTCGAGTTATTCAGATAATGGGTAGGAACGGGTCATGTTATAATAAAGTTAAGTCATAAATAAGTTGGGTTTATCGAGTAGTGGGTTGAAACGGATCAGATCATAAACATATTGGGTTACGGGTTATAAATGACTCAATCATAACGGATTACCGGTCGTAAATGGTTCGATCTCAACGGGTTACGGATCGTAAACAGTTCGATCTCACGCGTTACGAGTTGGAAACGGTTCGGTCATAACGGGTTACGAGTTATAAATGGTTCGGTCACAACGGGTTACGGGTTGGACCGGTTCAGGTTTATTGGATTTTTACTTTGTTTAAATGGTTTTCGGTTTAAAATGGGTTGGGTTACTATCGGGTTCAAACGTAATCGGTTCGGGTTGTTTTCAGTTTCGGATTTAACGGTTTGGCTTGATAACAGGTCGGGTTAGTAACGGTTCACACAAATTCGGTTCAGGTCAGTTTCTGGTTAGGAAAAATTAGGTCGGGTCGGTTTTTGATTTCCAAAAAACGGATTTTTAACGATTCAGTTCCTTTTCGAATCGGTTCGAAACAGTCAGATTTAACAATTCAGGTTAGAAACTGACAACTCTAGTAATTTTCCACGAAAAGTTTCAAGACTTTCAATTTCAGCCTCCTTTCTCATATCACTCATCTACATACTTAAGAGTAAAGTATGTGATTGAATTTGAGTAAAGCTGATAAATACGGTGTAAATCATTTTGAGTTCTTTCAATCCAATTTAGATGATGAGCTGTTTAATTAATATCAGGTCATATTAGTTTAAGATTGTATTTGGTGAAAAGCTGAAATTGATTGTGTTATGTTGAGGCCTGAAGCAAACCCATTTGTAAGTGGAAGTGCTGTATCATATTAATCAAGTGTATAACTGTATAAATAGAGCGAATGTTGTAATGTGTATCCCGCATTAAAGAAAAAAGAAGATTGTGTCCATTTTATAAGGCTAAGAGGCTACTTTCCTTATTGTCATTTGATTTTGAGGTAGAAATCTTGGACTTATAAAATAGACACTCATGACGAGTGTAGCCTAGACCTGCCAAAATAATTGTTATAATAACATAATTCACTATTTATACAAATAGCCCAAGTCTAATTTATATAGTTCAATTTGGTTAGTAATAGAATTTTAATCGGATGGAGTAGCGTTAAATTTTCTTACACGGCCAACATTGTGTTGCACAATAGACTATACACTACACATGCATACTCTAAAGGAGCAAAATAACACGGTGTTAATTAACGTACGCAATCTCATAGTATAGATTTTGATGACCAAAAAAATATTGCAAAGTCATGAATTTTGTAAAAGATATTCACAAAGATTCTAGCAGATTGTACTGGGTCTATAATCAGTTCATCTTTGTACCAACTAGCTAGATAGTGTGAACAAAGAAAAATATTGCAACTAACCAGATCACAATAAATCAGAGAGTTGCAATTACTAATATTTCTGAGCTGTTGAAGACTATCTAGCTTCAAGACCGAATCAACTTTTGTTCGCACGTTTTGATTTTCAGTCCTACAGTTCATGAAAAACAAAGTACTACTACTAGTCTTCTGGTCTACTGTGTTGCAGTATATCATGACGTGCAAGTCATTTGCTAACGACAAAATTGGCTCGTCATTTAGGTTGTAAGCTCCCTTTCACAAATCGCCAAATCTGT